AGCACTCAATTCCTATACTTCTAGTATACACTCAAATTCTAATTTACATCTGCTAATGTACAATCGTGTGGCCAATACCCCCTAACAGTGTCCTCCTAGTACTTCGAGAGATCACCTTGGGTTGCCGAGTTTCTTACGACAACTTGTCATGGCCGTCCAACCGGGGCTAAATACGGAGGAGTACCCTCCCCAAGAATTTGTCTTAGGAATATATACTAACGTGGAGGAATACCCGTACTGAGCTGTCACCATCAGCGGCCCACCTCTATTATCCCGCAGCATATATGCCCAATTAATGATACTTAATAATCTAAGCACCACGCTTACATTACTAAATACTACTCTATACCCGCATGCTTGACATAGAGTAACGGATAAATCAGACCTTAAACCCGCACCATTACACCTCTCTGTTAGGCTACCCACACAATTAACACAATGCAGATATAAAGTAAGACCAATACTCAAACTAAGTAAAGTACCAAAGATATATAAAGAAGAGTAATTCATTAATTAGGAAAGTATTACAAAAGAGATTACAAGAGCTGCTAGAGCCATACCGAAAACTCTTCCGAAGACTCCGAGGACTTCCAAACACTATTCTATTCTACTCCACTTAGCACTATACTACTAATACTAAAGTATGAAGAGGAATTTAGCTTGCTTGAGTGTGTTGAGAGAGTGAATGAGCTCCTCCTTTTATAGGGCTGGTATGACGGTTGTAGCTATGCGTAATGTCCATTTTACCCTCACAACCGTCATTGAGAGTGCATCCTGGACGTCCACGTGGAGGGCCAGCCGGAGCTGAAGCCACCAGGGTTCGGCCGAACCCCTGGTTAGGCCGAACCTGGGCTGGCCCAGCAGGCCTCCAGCCACGGCAGGTCGCTGACAAGTGGGGTCCCTTAGGCGGTTGTGGCAGTTAAAAGTCAGTTTCTGATGGTTGCTTCTGACATGTGGGCCCATCTTATCCATTTGCTTGCTTAGGAGTGAGTTTTCTCCACTTTCTCTTTATTTTATTTGATAAATTCCTGCAACATGTTATTCTCCAAGTACAAGTGGAAATATATTATTTGAAAATAAACATGCATTGTAAGCATAGCTAGTTCTCCATTATTTTAGTTATATTAACGGTCGAAATTTGTCGGTAACGACCGTCAACATGCAGTAGTGTGGGTTTAATGTCCGAGTATTCGGTTACTCTATGTCATCCATGGGGATATAGAGTAGTATTTAATAATGTCGGTGTGGTACTTAGATTATTAAATATCATTATCTGGGCATATATGTTGCGGGACAGTAGAGGTGGACTGCTGATGGTGATAGCTCAGTACGGGTATTCCTCTACGTTAGTATATATTCCTAAGATAATTTCCTAGGAAGGGTACTCCTTCGTTTTTAGCGCTAGTTGGATGGCAATGACAGGTTGTCATAAGAAACTCGGTAACCCGGGGTGGTCTCTCAAAACACGAGGAGGGCATAGGGGGTATTGGCCGCACAGTTGTATATTAGCAGATGTAAATTAACTAGAATTGAGTGTATATTAGTAGTATAGGAATTGATTGCTTTTCTACTTCTTCCACATAGCTCTAGGATTAATTAATGAGAGAATCAAAGTTCTTCTGCTTTGTATCACTCTACCCATACACTTGAATTAACCCCTGCTTAGACTTTGATTATACAAGTGATGTATATAAATTGTTAGCATGGTTCTCTCTTATAAATCTTCCCTTGGGATTAAATAAATACGATACCTTAGAATACTTCCGGGTGAAATGCTACAATGGTATATCCATGCACTTGCGGATTACTTCTATAACCATAAATATACAAGGATTATTTCTGTGTCATTATTGGGAATTTATATTTCCAGTAATGTCGTTAAGAAATACCAACAACCAGCGCCTCTCACATGCGCCCCTCGGCGCTTCTCTCGTGCCACCATCACCATGACAGTGCCCTCACTCTCGTTGACCTCGGCCGACGCTCTCGACGCTACGGTGCAAGCCATCGCCGATGTCGTCCGCGACTCTTTCTTGTCATCTAGCGACCACAACATCGACTCAGCCACTGCGGCGGCTGTTGCTGAGGCTCCACAAGTGTGCAACCAAGGCAGCGCATGCGGCGCTCTCGAGACCCCACCGGATCAATCCGCCGCTGCACCTAATAAAATTTCACCTCACTTTTCATCTATCGGCGAGGTTCAGATTTGGTCTATTTGTTGCTCTACGTTGACAACATCGGGCTCGCTGCTTCTACGGCGTACCTCCTGGAGTGGACAATCTCCTACTTACAGTAGGAATTCTCTATGAAGGATTTAGGTCATCTTCACCACTTTCTTGGCATCACTGTACATCGCCAACCTTCTGGTCTGCGCCTTCATCAACGCTAGTATTGTATTGAAATCCTCGAGCGTGCTAGTATGTCAGACTGCAAGCCATGGATGACTCTAGTCGACACTTCTACCAAGTTGTCCTCTACCAATGGTGTCGTGATTGCTGATCCTATTGACTTTCGCAGTCTAGCGGGTGCTCTACAATCTCTTACATTAACTCGGCCAGATATCGCATACGATGTCTAGCAGGTCTGTCTCCACATGCATGACCCTCGCGAACCACACCTTTCTGCTCATAAGAGGATTCTCCGTCATGTTCGAGGCACACTAGACTATGGGCATTGCATCCAACATTATTCTTTCGCTGACCAGATTGCCTACTCTGATGCAGACTGGGCCGGCTGTCCAAACACCATAAGTCAACCTCTAGCTATGCTGTCTTTCTTGGCAACAACCTTATCTCTTGGTCCTCTAAGCATCAGAACACCGTGTTCCGTTCCAGTGCTGAGGTAGAATATAGGATGGTTGTTGGTATTTATTAACGCCATAGATAGAATCCACAAGCGCACGAATATACCGATGTAGCACTTCACCTGGGAGTATTCCAAGGTATCGATTCCACGAGGAATGTGTGTGCTAAGCTCTTCTCCAGGTTCATCCAAGAACATAAAGCAATGATAGGCAAAAGGGTAGAGAGGATTTCCTAGTGAGAAACAGTGTCTACAGAAAGCTTAATTTAATCCTATAGCAATACTTCAGGCATTGGCTTGCTCACTTCTAACAGAACGCGCTCTACTCCGTACCCAGACAGAGAGGACTGCAGTGCTCTTGAGTGTTGTCACTACCTCTACACCAACCTTTAACGAATTGTGGGATACACAACAATCACTGGAAATTAACTACCTAGACACTAAAGTAATTAATTACTACTTTAGCGTTAGATAAACATTAAAGTAATCATTATCTATTAATGAACAATAGTGAACAATGATCCAGTATGCTAATAGGAACTAACTAAGATATAATTCTCACAAAGTAAATCTTAATTACTCGGAAAGATATTTCTATTAAATTAGAGTAATTAACAAGGTACAAAAAGTAAGAGGAGATTACCGACAACTCCGAAATTCCTCCGATTTCTTCTACCTTACAATAAAGTAGAATAGAGCCTCATGTAATTCAGCTCATGCTTCGTGTGTTATGAATGAGGGAGGAGAGGGATATTTATAGGCCAAGTGCCTTGGGAGTGTGGAGATGCTCAAGGCATCCAATGAGCATATTCCCCCTTGCTTCACTTCCTTGTGCCAAGTGTCCTATGACGGTTTCTTCAGGTTGAAATTGTCACAACTGCCTTGGGATGTCGATAACTACCGGCGTGTGAAGTTTCTAGGCCAGATGGGCTAGCCCTGGTTTGGCCGAACCCTGGTTAGCCTCCCTGGCCTAGGCCTTTCTCCTGGTCACTGACACATGGGTCCCCTTTAGTATTTCTCTGGAGTTACCCATTTAATTATGATCTTATTGGGTTTGTAGGCTAAGACTCCATTGACTTGGATATGGAAGTATTATTTCCCTCCTTCATGTATATTTCCTCTCAACTTTAGTAGTTTGTCATCTGCATCCAAATACACATCAACACTTGTGGAAAGTGTTAGAAATAAACCCTATCACTATGTTGGATATTTTATACTCTCAGTTTTATGCAGATATTGACGGCGTAAATTTGGTATTTAGCAGTCGTCAACAGCGGTCGCAAATGCTGTTGCTGAAACCAGTCGGCTTCGTCAACTAAGTCAACTCTGTTCTCCCCCTACTAAGGCTACTCTGGTTTACTATGATAATGTCAACGCGATCTATCTCTCAATTAATCTGGTTCGGCATCAACAAACTAAGCATGTCAAGACTAATCTCCACTTCGTTCGTGAGCGGGTGGCAGTTGGTGCAGACTGTGTTCTGCATGTCCCCACATCGTCACATATGCCGATATCTTCACCAAGGCCTACCTTCGTCCGTCTTTACAAAGTTTTTAATGCTTCAATCCACAATTTAATTGACAGAGTAGAATGACCTAGCATACTGAGAACAATGTGAGGTGCAGGTGTGCCCTGTGTGCACACCTGCACAGAGCGGCGGACGGAGACTCGATCTGGATTAGAGTTTGGAGATGGAATAATGGATGGGAGGAAGGGGAAGCGATACTTTTCTGTTTGACTAGTAATCGTGCACGTGCAATGCACGTTCTTTCCATCATAACTTGCTTTCATGCAACTTTACAATTATATCATCATGATCCCTTAAAAATATTGGTGGTCTATCTTGAGAAGATAAAGTAGCACTTCAATGTGTAAATAAACCGACCGTAATACATTGAAATCCATGTAGCTAAGAAATAAATCTATAAAGAGGAATGATACAAGCTTCGTTTCCATTTCCATACAAACAGAAAGAACAAACAACCAGTACGTGCACAAAGTAATCCACGTAGAAATACACACACTTACAATGGAGTCTAATTTGAAGATGGTGTATATTATAAATCCGTACACATTTCTTATATCTCCAAACTGAAGTTGAATCATCCACCATGAACACCTAGAATCGATAAATAAGTTCACACCCTTCAATTAGCAAAATCTATGCTCTGGTGGGCAACAATTGTTAACATTCATTCTACAAAGCTTGATAATTGAATCAAAATCCAATCCAAGAGAACGCAACCATTTCGTGATATGTCTTATAGATTTAACAGATAACAGATAAATGGAATGATTATATGTTCAGTTAATACAATAACAAGAAGCACCCATGATGGTGAACACTGCAGAGAACGGCACCATTTTATCATAGTACTGAATTACAGTATAGACAAATGTGTAGCATTTGGCAGCAGCAGGGTCCTTGTGTAGCCATGATCTTTGACAACCAAATTGACTTCCATACAATTAGTGCAGACAACTAAGGCACTGCCATGTTATTGAACTGCTTGCGAAGCATTGCTTAAAATATTATTGTGGCCCCAATTTTCCATACTAAATAAAAATTAGTGCATATGAGGAACAAAACAGAAAAGATGAAGGTACAAAGTGGTGTTAGAAATAATTGAGGATAACATAAGAAAGATATAGATACCCAAGTGTGGTGCTTAATTCTGTTAGAACTTGATAGCCCCAGGAAATAACAATAATTGGACCACATCGGAAGCACCTCAACAAATCCACAATGGAATCAGTCCTGCCGAATCAGTCATCCAAAACAAATTCCTAATACATGAATAAAGGAAAGGTCACAAGATTCAGCCGAGAAAAATAGTACATATTCGATAATACAAATAACAAGTCATATCATCTACAATCAGACCAGCAAACCTGTAAAGGCACATTAACTCTCATGCTCACATATTTGCTTCCCATTTGGCAATGAAACTGATCATCTGCATAGTCAAGAGAAAGAGAACATATCAATAGTTAGTGTGCGCATGCAAGGCACATGTCATGTATATCGATGGGAGAAAATACTCTTATTTTCATAAATACTAAAATCTGTTTCACATGCCAATTGATATTGAAATCTGTTTCTTTTTTCTCTGCAGTGTGCCCCTTGTGCCAGTATGAAGTATGAGCACCTGCACCTATACAGCTCCAGCAAACATGTGGCCTCGTTTTTATTGACGGAAGAGTAGAAAAGAAATATAATACCATTGAAGATTGATTTATCGCAAGGAGCAAGGTAATCTGGAGATGGCAGATCACAACAAAAAATAATTAATCTTACCAGCTGTGACCAAAGTACAGTTCTAGACTACCTTTACTTAGTAGTAGCAATCATAGAGATCGAGATTAGAGAGAGATAGAGAGAGATGCGGCCCTACCTTTACCAGGAGCGTGATGCCCTCCACGCCCACATCCGCGGCACAGATCGTCCCCTCCTGCTCCACGGTCACTGGCATGCGCCTCAGGTTCGTGATGCCGCACATCATCATCATCAGTAAGAACGCTGAAAAGTTTTTTCCAGATTAGACTACACTATCTGAAATAAAGAGGAGACTTTTTTTAAGGTCAAGAGGAGATGGTTTGAAAGCAAAAAAAAAAAATTCCCATATTTTTTTTCCAAAATCTCGGTGCCCTTACCTTAGTCAAATCCTTTTAAAATGAAAAAAGATTGGAGCAGTGATAAAAACAACTGGAGCCTGGTTGATATCTTGACAATTGGATAAATGAATGCTCACAAGAAGAATATAATTCTGCAATATAATCATAAAGAAAACAATATGCTGAAAGTACATGTGGCGAACCGTCAAGATAAATTAATGACTGAACACGTACCGATCGGTGAAAAAGGACTGAAAACACTTAATAACAGTACCAATAGCACCTTTTCGCCCACAAATTCTTCTTCAGTTCAATTTGTCATCAACTCAGTCCTAACAAGCAAACAACAAACCAATAAGATAACCGGGGAGCCTAGGGAAGAAAACAAGATTAGATATATTCAAAATCTGAGGCAATTGCAAGATTACATAGAAAGCATATCAATTAGGTACGGGAAGGGAAAAGAACCGCATCTGCCTCCATTACCGAGTCAAATCTTCATTGTCATCTGACATTACTGCACCTGTGCTAGCATTGCGAACAGTTGAGAGTTCAACTCATGATTAATTCTTGAAAGCTTTGTTAATTAAACTGAATTGGGTAAAATGGCTAGAGTTTTATAGGGTAATTAAACATACCACAAAAGCAAAAAAGAGATATGGAATCAAGATATAGTTCTGTCTCATGGTAAGTTTTATAGGGGAGTTTATAGCGCTGAACAGATGACAATGAAGGATTCTCAATTCACACACAATCATCTCCTAGTAGTTGTAAACAAAATCACAATTGTTAGGCAATCATCCAGGTCTTGAAGAGCCTCATCAATAGTCTTTGTTCAACCAAAAGATAGTTTGCTGAATAATGCTAGAGAGTATGTACCCATATAAAATAAGCTTTGTGAATATGTGAATTGGTGACTGATTTAATAGCGTCTGGAACAACCTCCTTGATCTTCTCTGTATGAAAACCAACCAACATGTATCAACACCAACTGGATAAACTATGTACAATATTTTCTTAAGTCCTCCACTGTAAGGAGATTAAATGAACAAAGCCTAAGGAGATAGATAAACCCATGAACAATCAAATATGAGGCAACGGTTAGGAATAAATAGAAACAGTATTGGTTGAGTGGTATTCAGTCGAACACTTCTGGGGCAAAACGGTTATTTATGCAACCAAAAAAGAACTCCACGATAATCTGAAACAAATAGACTGCAGTGATTCATAAAGAGGATCGAATGCAATTGGTTGGTACTTGGTACCTGCATGAGATTGCAGAATCCGTCTGATGAACAGAGCATCAAGGGTCGTTGTGGTCGTGGCGGGTAAAGTTGGAGGTGCTGTACTGGGAGAAGCCGCGGTGGAGGACAACGTCGGAGCTGGTGGCGACGGAAAGTCCGCTCCGGCCGCGGCGGCGGACCTCGGCAGCGGCGGCGGCGGATGGGGCCGAGGTCGGAACCGGACACGGCGGCTCTGGCGGCGGGGAAGAAGCAGCGGCTCCGGCGGCGGGGATGCAGCGGCAGTCCACGCGGGGAAGAAGCACCGGCTCCGGCGGCGGCGAAGAATCAGAGGCTCCGGCGGCGGCAGTCCACGCGGGGAGGATGAAGTCTTCACCCGTGGAGCGATGTCTTCGCGGGTAGAGGAAGAGGAGTGAAGTATTCGGCGTGGATGGATGGATCAAACGAGCGAGGAGCAACGAAGTCTGCGCGAGGAGGAGGAGCGAAGTCTACGCGGGGATGGAGAGTAGTATTCGCGGCAGTACTCAATCGTGTGGTGGTGAGATCGTGCGCGCGGATGGACGGCAGAGATTACTCCGAATGATTTCACCAGTACGATTGGAGGGGGGCAACTTCTCCTTTTTATATTAGTATAGATTTCTCTCGATTGATTTTTCTATTGACGATGCATGGTGACTAATGTACTTGGGCCATCATGGGACTTTCTCTATCGGCCATGGTTGTCCTACGAATTTATCTCTGTGTAAGCTCGTTAAGACTTGCAAGCAGCTCGTAAACCCGCTTGAACTGGCTCGTTATGCCTAACGAGCTGAAACGACGTCTCGGCTCGTTTCAAAACATAATGAGCCGAGCTGGTCACAAGCCTCGAGCTTTTCGTCCAGCCCTAGTTGCGTCGTTCTGCTACTCCGTTCTACTGAGGTTCATTAGGCATGGGTAACAATCCCATATTGCTGGAGATATAAGGCAAATGGACTAGAAATTTGCCCAAGTGGAGCAAGCTTCCCTAGTATTCATCACCACGATTTGATCTCACGAGTTTAAGTTTAGCATTATGCTGATTTTCCACTTTGGCCTTAAATTTCTCAAGAGATTTAGAACAACCATTAATGGGATAAATATAGCCAAAACGGGAATAATCATTTGTGAATGTAATGAATGAGTCAAAGCCATCCAGAAATGTCATTGGGAACAGTCCACAAATATTGATCTGAATTATTTCTAGTGGCCCCTTTCTTAATTGTCTTAGTGAAATTTCCCTTAATGCAATCTACGTAATGATCTACTTCAGAAAAATCTGAAGGAAGGAGTATTTATTCTTTAATGAGACATTCAATTCTTTCTCTAGAAATGTGGCCCAAACGATAGTGCCATAATTTTGATGACATCTCAGCTTTATCATTATATGCATTTATAACATTCATCACAAAATCATCCAAAGAGAGCAAATAGAGTTTGTCTCGCACGAAGGCAAGACCCACAACTTTATTATTAAACTTAAACATGTTCCTTTTGTAAAATGACAGTCATAACCTGTCTCTACTAAGACTCTTAACCGAAATAAGATTTCTCTTAATAGATGGAGCAAATAAGACATTATTTAAAATTAAATTACAGCCGCTAGGGAGTCTATGTGTGAGGTCTCCAACAGCCCTCACTTCAATCTCGGCTCTATCAACTACTCTAGGCTATGAACTTTTCACCTATTTCACAAAGTTTTGATGTGTTTTATGTTGACTATTTGTTACACCAAATTGAGAGGCGTTATATAAACAAAAGTGTTTTAGATTCTTGATAACTGGAGTAATTTAATTTTAAATTATTTGGAGCTAGAATATATTATATGAAATTTATGACTTATAGTTTGTAATTTAGTAGTACTTACTCTACAATGTTAAAGTTTAGAGATGATCTTTATATTAAAGGTTCCATATTTTATTTTAAAACGTGAAACAATACGCTTCTGTGAATCTAGCAGGACTTGGTTCACTCTATTTTGAGCTAAGATGAGTTTCCTATGAATTTTAGAAGTTGGATTATGTGTGTGTTGATTATTTTGCTATTCATATTTTTAGTGATGTTTCAGGTACAGCCGTACAGGAGGTGCAAAATTTTATCTTACTAAATTAAAGTCCACATCTTGCTGAACCTACAGAAATTTGGTTCATCTCAAAACAATTTATATTTGATTTTATACGGATTTTACAATTTAACATATTTTCTAATTCAATAGGAAAACTTGTTAATATTTCCATTTTATTTAAAAGATTTCAAACTGGCGACTTTGCATGAAGAACCCTAGTTTTTATGGAAACCAACACGCAGTCCTGTGACTGTTCAATGGTGTGGGATATTTACAGATAGGATCCTAGATTTTATCTAATTTCCAGAGAAAGTCCCTGTGTTCCTCCCAGAGCAGGGCAGCATGGCCGACGGCCATGCCTGGTCTCGGCGGCGGCGAACGGTGGGGATTCGAGCTACGCGACCAAAAGAAGAAATGTATAGGGGTCCTCTGCGAACTCGAAGATGATCCAATCACGGGCTATGGTGACCGGATTTGATAGCAGTGGCGGCGCGAGCGGCGGCAACACTCGGGTGATGGTGCATGTGGAGCTAGAGCTCGTTTATGGCTAAAAGGGCACATGAATGTGTGTTTACAGGGGTCTTGGAGACTCATTCGATGTCCCGCGTGGCCCAGCGAAGCTTGGATGACGGCGGCAGCGGCTTCGGACTCCGGAAAATGCTCGATCCAGCCATCAATCTGCCATGCGTGCATGCGCAGGGTGTTAGATAGGTGCTAGGGATGCTCCATGCGCGAGGAATCGGACTGGGACTGACCAGAGTGGACGAATTTGGAGACGGTGGTCATAGGCCGGAGTTGGAGAAGAAAAGCTCGATCCCTCTACTCGGTGCACGAATCTTCAGGAATATGGAGGGTTTTTGGAGAGGACCTCTAGGGGAAGCCTATGGCGCGGTGGCTCGCCCCGGCTTGCTCCAGATCGACGGCGACGGACATGATGTCTTGGCGGCGGCTCTCAGAGCGTGCTCCAGGACGACCGAGAGCGCGGCGGTGTTCCCAGCGATTGGCTGCACAAATTGGACCGCGGTTAAAAGGAATGGAATCGGCATGGAAGTGGGATGACGGAACGCATAAGACATGGAGACCGCCGTCATCTTTGCGGCCGACGGCGGGAAGGGTGTGGTCGACGGCGATCTGGGGCTGCTCTCTCGGTTTCTTCTACTCCATGGGATGGGAGGGAAGAGGACGGAGAGTACATGCAAAAAGGCGAGGTTTTTGCTCGGTGGAGGAGACCTGGGGCTCGGCCGGCCGTCGCCCGTCGACGCGTGGGGACGCGCGTGTCGCGCGTTCCTGAATGTGGGGTGACCTGGCACATTCTGTGACACTTACAGGTGGGTCCCACATAGACCTGGGGCCCACTGGCAGCGAGAGAGGAGGACATCTCTTGGAAAAACTTCAACTCTATTAGCTGCAGTACTGTTCCAACTTTGACTCGAACTTTTCTTGTATTGGTGTGGTTTAAATGGTGGTGGCCTACTGGGAAGTGGTACAGGGATGTTTGTTGCAGAGGTTGGACAAGGTTTCAGGCCAAATTGAATTATGGTTAAATTTTAAGAGAGTTGCAAAGTAGGTTAACTGAAATCTGTAATTTCCAGATTTTGCTGCTTTAGATGATTTATTATTTGAGGTATCAAAGTGAGTGATAAAAAATAAGTAAAAATTACATTTGTCGATGTTTGAGGTCGCGATTCCGGTATTTGCATAGTATGAGGATCGTTGGTACTAGGATATATGCGAGATTGTAGTAAAAAAGATGGGGACGAAGATTTTTATACAGGTTCGGGCCCCTGAATTGTCAGGTAATAACCCTACTCCTGTTGGCCAAAGCCGGTAGTTGCTCTTATTCACCATAACCACACCAGTACAATATTTGGGGTAGCCTATCTATCTGTTGTCGACATGGCGATTTGAAGTGCTGACACGTAGTTGACAACAGAGTAGTCTTCCTCCTCAAATCCGCATCCGGCGAGATCAAAGACAGCGCTATGTCTCTCCTGACAGTATCCGTAGACACCGTAGGGACTAGCCATGCTTATCTCTGAAGTCGATATCCGGCGTCTTGTCTTGGCGCATGTTGGCTTGTATGTTGATCTTGTATCTTGATCTATTGTTCCGTGTCCCCTCTTCTCCTAGGGGCCTTGTATTTATACCCATAGGTGTTCTCTTGTCCAAGTAGAACTAGGAAAACCAATATGGATATAATCCGAGTAGTCCTTATCGTATCCATATAGAACTCTATTTATCTTTCCTTATCCAGAACTCTTATCCGGAACTCCTTCTATATACCCGAAGGTTGTTTCCGTATAAAACATGGTATGTGGTGGGTCCTGCTAAGATTTAGTCAACTACTGTTAGGTATGTAGTATCCATAACCTTGACAACATTGGGTTTTACTTATTGGATAGTACTTTTGGTGAAATTTTTCATGATTTTATATTGCTCCGATTAGATTTAGAAATGCACCAAGGCTATCTTGTTTATGTGTTACTATTATAGAAATGCAGCTAAGTGTTTATAAAAATTGTATTTGGATTATTCTCTAACTGATGTGATATTGTTAGGCTTGATTTTCATTCCACCGTCCACAATCTCATGTGATATTTGTAAATTTATTTATTTATATATTTGGAATTAAGTTAAGTGAAGACTATGGTGAGAGTTTAATATAAGGGTGCTAATATATACTTATTAACTTTTGTGACCATGACCTATGTTCAGATGAGAGACAAAACTAACTTAATGAAGTTTGTCATTGGTAATGTTGTAATATTTTGGTTGTAGGAATTTTAGGGAATGCTTCCCATTCTTGACATTAGGTGTTCCTTAACTTAGTTATTGCTCCTAGATTTGAGTGATGCACATCAGACCTATTATGAAGTGCATTTAAAATTCAAAAACACAAAAAAGACTCAAGTCACACTAAAACATTATGCACATGCAATTATACACTATGTTTCATTTTTATTTCCGGTTAGTAAGGGAAAAGTTTTAAATTGTTACAAAATTCTCATATGTGCACTAGTTAAATTAGCCTTGTCTAGGTGAGTCAAAATTTTAAGATTTTTATTTATGAAAAGAATTTTCACCAATTTTAGATGCATAATTTGGAATTCAAATATTTTGGGTATATTACATATATAAATGCATCATTAGGAAAATTTGTATCATTCACAAGTAGTCCAAAACTTATTTGGAGATGGACAGAAAGAATGTGGACCCAATTTACTTGGAGATGAAGCATTGCCACATTCTATGTACGTATATATTTTTGTTCTTAGGGGGACCCTTCCCACGCAGAGTAGTCAAGAGATACAACACTCGTTGGGATTTTCATCGTTAGAACGCATAGCGTTCTCCGGCGGATAGTACGGCGGCTGCCTCTGCATTGCTTCTTGGATGAGGTCACTGAAGGTCTTGAGAGGCTCCGCTGCCAGGTCGCACATACGGGCCGTAATGTCTTCAAACCGATCGGCCAAATCTGCATCTGTGTTGACCATTCTATTATACACGGTCGCACAAAGGGATGCCAATGCTTCCTGCAATCTCCCGTCATTGTCTTGGGTAGCTGCAAGGCCTGAACCTGCCGGTGCAGTATAACTTGGCACTCTTTGTATATGTGTTTCTGTCAATCCCCAACCAAGTACTTCTCTTAGTACCTGCGACATTAACTAAGAAGTTAGCAATACTTTTAGACACTCTGTTTGGCATAAAAAAGATCAGAAGTTGTATGGTGTTTGCATTCTAAAAATAGTAAAAATCCAACTATATATCCACAATGAAAGGTACAATGTAAAATCAATAGTTATAGTATATTTCATTATCATAAAAAAGATGTTTATTGATATAGGTAGTAAATGTCAGAGATTGCATACCTTGGGCAACAAATCAATCATGGCCTCCTTCAGATTCTGAAAATGTTCATCATCGATGGAATAGTTACCATATAGGTGTTTCAGGACATCTGCTGCAATTTTCCTGTGGATGCTGTTGTACAAGCCTGAATCAGTTTTACCGATACAATCAATCATATTAGGACCATATTTCTCCAATATGATGGTGGCACAGCTTCCAAATCCGAAAGATAGCTGCGCCAGCTCTTCACCTGCCAGATTTTCAAACTGGGAGCCCTTACTCTTGTGAAGAAACATGTCGATCAGGGAGCCAATGAATCTTTCTTTGTTCTGGTCACCCATAACCGAAGATGTATCCCAGCATATTTGTGCGAGAACCCTTATAGCTTGTTTCTTGACCTCTTCGTCACATTTGTCACAGTCGATAATACTCTCCAAGGAGCTGATTGCTTCCAAGCTTGTCGATATTTCGCGCCATAGAATGTTGTTTGATCTTGTAGTCGCAGACATGAACCGTTTTATAAGTTTCACCCCAGGGTCTACTATATCGCGGGACCATTTGTCATGTTTCCGGAGGTGTAGTTCTTTGTCGTTTATAAGTGCTACTATCTTCCAGACCAGATCATCCGTGTTGCTCATGATCCTCAGGTTGTTCTCGTCGTCGGAGAGCTTTAGAAGGATTTGAATGCCTCTAACCTGCATCTGTCCCTCTTCACCGACAGAAATACGGTGGCCATACTCCTCAAGTGGCTCATCTGGCTGATGAAATGGCTTGAGATCAAGCAACGAAGATATGCACTGGATCCCTTGCAGGATCTTGTCCAAGCGGATGTCGATTACAAAGTGTTCCACAATCCTCGCGGCGCGCAACCTGATCTCTTCGTCATATGGGCTTTTGGAATCCAGCATCTGTACCAAGTTGTGGAGTATGGAGCCGGAGGACGCTGATCCAATTGTATTGGATATCAGCATACTTTGTCCTGGAAATCCGCTCCCAATTGCACCCGAGTTAAATCGGATGAGTGTATCAAGAATCCTTACTCCAGATAGGTACCTATAAGATAATAGGGAGATTTTATAAAGAGTAATTTTACGATCCCTGAAAGGTAAAAAAAGAAATGCAAATTTTGATATCACCTTGTAAAAGAGGTACTAAATTTTACATTAAAAATTTGATATCTCTCGGAAACTCCTAAAGGACCGTAAAATTACTTTTTTATAAAGAGTATTGCTATGCACATAAAGTTTCAGTCATCTAAAATTATACATTCCTAAGCCTAAAATTGTAGAGATATAGAATGCGCAATTTCACTTCTTTTTAACTTGTTATATATTGTTTTTACCCTGTTTTTATCTTAGTTTGGATAATTTTGCATGGAATTTTATAAACAGTCAATTTATTTAATTCCTTTCATATAAGGAACAAAGGGAGAGGTACGAGAACCACTGGATCAGCATCTAAGGGATGAAAAAAAAGTGACTGAAATTTATGGAAAGGTACCTGTTAGGTGATGTGGACTCCATCAGCTGTGCGGCGTACGTGATCATGTTCCGACCACCGGCAAAGGACGGGTCCTTCTCGCATCCCACCTTGATCTCGTGCAAGTAATCCAAGACCGATCCACGTGACGCCTCGTCGAACCCGTATGCATCGGCCACATTTCTTACCAGCTTGTTTTCCTCGTAAGCAGAGATGGTCCTGTAATAGAAGAGCACACCCTGAAACAAAGCCAGGGAATAGAGAACCACCAGCGCCGGCCGCAGGTTCGCCTTGCTACTATCTCCGGAGTCCGGCCGTCTCACCGTAATCCTGAAAGATTAGACGCCACAGCGAAATCCAGGGAGAAACGAACAGCCCAAACATGTATAGCAGGAACAGTGGGCATAGCACGATGGTGAACACCAGCACCCGAACGGCACCCCTGAACCCGAGCTCTGTGCGGGTATGGGGCAACGCGATGAAGACTGAAGCCTCCCATAGCCGCTTGAATGAATACCCAATAAGGCGTATATTTCCATTCAGAAAAACATCGAATATCCTGTGGTATACACTATAAGTTTCAGTTTTTTTTATTTGAAAGGATAAATGTTGCATTTAAAAAGATTGAGAGAGGAGATAGTGGAAATAGTATTGTTTGTTGTCAACAATTCGTAAACCAACAATGCTTTTAGTATAAATGGAGCCTAACATTCTGACGTGTTAGCCCTAGATAAGTCACTACCACAAGATTTTTGGAGAGACTAGCCAACGGATCCTGTCGAAGGATGGGATCACCATCCATTCTTACCAGTTTTCTCTTCTTTCGTATCTCGCGCTCCATCCTCCTCCCATCTATCGACCTCCACCTCCACCTCCCACTCTATCTCTCTCTCTGTGTGTGACTGCTCCCTTCATTCCTACCGGAACAGGGGTGGG